AATTTCCCTAGTGTAAATATTGCCGTGGCAGTCAATGTCAAGTTATACCAGTGTGCTGTCCATAACATAGATGTCACAGAAGATGAAGATCACTGGGACATCTCAGGTAGGGACCTGGTTACATAACAGAGCACGGATAATGTGTGAGCACGGAAAGGCTTAGGTGCCTGCATATATTTCTACTATATGAGTGACCCACCCTGCTCTCAAATGATTGTGGACTGAGCTTCCAAGCAAGCCAAACATGATTATCATGGACGATATATTGTGATCATCTCTGACAACTCCAATTAGCAGGAAATATGAGTGGTGTCGGCAAATGAGTTGAAATGTGCACAGAGAAAGATGTTGCATTCTGAGAAATAGCCAAGATCTGTCAACACTCAAGTACACAGCCAGAAATAACTCAGGGCTACATTATGCCACACCCTCCTTTCTTTTCACCCAGCACTCAAAAAAAAATAGCACAATCAACAAGTAAAGTCTTGCAATAATTTGATTTTTCCTCCCTAAATTTACATAGGAAGAAAGCTAAATACTAAAATAATTCATTTTACAAACTACATAATATTAAATTTTGTGTTGGTGTGCCATGCCTAGTGACATATACTGGTTATCATGACATTCAGAAGACGGAGGCAGGGGGACTGTGAGTTTGAAATGGTCTTCTTACTTTCCTGTTGCCCTGGTGAAAACTACCTGGTTTCTCTTTGATGGCACTGATCTCTTTAATAATGAAAGCTGCTCTGTCATGTTTGCTCACTTCATATGAAATGTCAAACTAGGCCCTGCCCTGGATGACATGGCAGACTCTGGAGATCCACCATGGAGGGCCTCACCCTCTCTGGTGATCAGAGTGGAGATTGGGTGGAGGACTGGGGGGCCCAGTGGGGAGGGAGGGGAGGAGGGGAGGGAGAGGGGAGGTGGGATTGACATGTGAAACAAGCTTGTTTCTAACTTAATTTTTTTTAAAAAAGGAAGAGAAAAAATAATTAAGAAAGAAATGTCAAACTAGCTCATATTCATAAAAGTTCCTATTTTTTTATGTTCTACTTTTTGCTCTTTCTTGACGTATACCTGTATAAAAGTGATAGATGAGCAATAGCCGTGGCACCGCCTGAATGCTATGCTGACTTGAAGTTTCCTCTTCCAAAGACATTAGTCCCTTACTCTCTATTGATGGTCACTCATGTGCTATGGTATGCGTATGGAGGTTAGATGACAATGTGAAGTCTATTTGTTACTATTTAGTTCAACCTCATATAAGTTATCAGGACATACACAGAATATGTTCAAGTTCCTTGTCAAAATGCATCAAGAATGTGCTCTAGCCCCATTCCCAACACAATCCTTGCTCCCCTCTGAGATTCTTGAACCAGGCCTATACTAGTAACATTTCTCTGTTCCCTTTTCTTCTAAAACCCCACCAGAACATCCCACTAAGCTCTACTTAGAGTAGTCAAGGGCTTTTCTAACCCAAAGTTCCAAACTCTTCCACATTTCACCTGTATACCAGTTCCAAAGCCCCAAAAACCACAATTGTCAACAGGAGCAACAACCCCACTCCTGGTACCAATTTTGCTGCTTTCCCGGTTGCTATTGTATAATGGCTTGGCAAGACCAACTCAAGGGAAGACGGGTTTATTTGGCTTGTGGTTCAATGGTACAGTCAGTCTATCATTGTGACAGGGAAGCCAGGATGCCAGGAGCTTGTGGAAGGAGGGTCACTTTGCGTCTGCTGTCGCTTGAAAGCAGGGAGTGATAAATAATGGGGATCAGCCTACTTTGCCCTTTTTACTCAGTCCAGGACCTCAGCCCATAGAATGGTGCCACTCCCAATTAAATTGGGTCCTTCCCACCTCCACTGACCTAATCTAGATAATCTCAAGGGCACGCCAGAGGTTTGTCTCATTGGTAATTCTAGATCCTGTCAAGCTGACAATCCCATAAATATGATCTGCCACAGAGACATTGTCTCCCAAAAAAAGTCATGTTGATGGAGATAAGTGACAGGAAAAGATGACTGAAGACAAGCAAAATTTCCTTTAATAATGTACTATAAAATTTAATAATGGTAGAGGAACCTCGAATAGAAAATACATCTAGGTGAACAGTAGTTGTACATATTGATTGTATATGCAATTGATGTCAGAACTAGCTGGGTATGTTTTCACATTTCTCTTTTTTTCTACTTCTATTTTTGTCATAGTGTCAACAGCATAATTTTATAGGAAGACCTTTCATTAACACTGTACAGTTTAGTAGGATAGAGGCAAATTGGCATAGCAGGAAAGCATTGGTGTGGGGACGAGAATTCCTGAGGACAGGTAGCAGATCTGTAGCTGCTGAGCAAGGCCACGCCATTTCATTCCCAAAACTAGCAGTCTGTAAAAGGGAAGAATGAGAAATCCCAACACTGGGTCTGGAGAGATGGCTTAGAGGTTAAGAGGACTGGTTGCTCTTCCAGAGGTCCTGAGTTCAATTCCCAGAACCCACATGGAGGCTCACAGCCATCTGTAATGAGATCTGGTGCCCTTTTCTGGCCTGCAGGCATACATGCAAACAGGATACTGTATACATAATAAATAAATAAATTTTAAAAAAAGAAATCCCAGCACCCGTACAGAAGTATGATCAAATGTGATACTGACATAGAGTCCATCTTAACACTAAAATGTGATACTGACATACAGGCCATCTTAACACTCAAATGTGATACTGACATACAGGCCATCTTAACACTCAAATGTGATACTGACGACATACAGGCCATCTTAACACTCAAATGTGATACTGACATACAGGCCATCTTAACAGTCTTACTGACATTTGCTTCTCTGTTAACAGAGATTTGAATGAAAATCGATCTAAATGACTAATGTGAGACAAATCCTCAGGCAAATACTCTAAACAGATGAATCTATTCTCACTCAACCACGGACAAACAACTCAACAAAAACTAGACAATGAGCTTGAACAGGATCTTCTTTGGAATTAGTCTGCAGATTGTGAGTAGTCATTAGATTATTACAAACAGTCGATAGATAGATGAGATGCCCTAACCCTCAATCACCTCGGAGAGGGTCATCAAAGCTGCAAGGAGATGTTTCCTCACACCTGTTAGAAAGACGGTAACAAATGCTGTGGGGACAGGAGTGTACAGTGATATGAAGACGAGAAGAACCTCAATGGAGGGCCTCCAAACAGTTGAAACAGATGGCATCTCCGCCTCTCAAGTGATACAGCAGCTATAACGGTATGTTCATTATAAGCAGGAAAGTCAAAATACTAGAACCACCCAAAAGTCCATTGACAGATAAACAAGATACAGTATGCACACACAATAAGTATTATTTTGCATTTATGTGCATAAAGTAAACTCGAGGGCATTTTACGACACAAAGTACTCTGGTCATAGGAAGCTGGGTGCTGAGTGGTCCTGTGATTGTGGGGTGTGAGCTGTAGAAGATGCATGGAGAACGGGGTATAGTGATGATTCCCAGCTCCTGGGAGATGGGAGGGAGATGGGGAGCTTTTGTCTGATGGTATACAGTTATGCTAAATAAATAAGCTATAAAGATCTGTACCATGATATGCCTCTAATTAGCAACACGATGCTACTTACATATTTCAACACAGGTTAAGAGGGTAAATCGCCTGTTAGACTTTTTTTTTAACCACAAAAGCAAGCAAGCAAGGAGACACGAGGGAGCTGTGGGACATGGTGGATACGTCTAGTACGGCGAAATTTGCATATTCCCAACTCATCAAGTCATATGCATCAAATACGCATGGTTCCTCCTATATCAGTTATACTGAAATGAAGCTGTTAGAAAACCAGGAGCTGGATTTTAGAGTTTCCGAGTTGCTTCCACTGTCAAAACCAAACTGAACAAAGAATTCCAAAGCATTCAGCATCTTTGCTGGCTGGCTTTGATAAATTGGAGCCTGATCATTTCCCTTTTTTTTTTTATTAAATGTTTTCCTGGTGATTTCTGTGTCACCTGTGTTTCAGGCACACCTCCCTAGGTCTGCGTCATACTTGACGCTTCTATCGACGTGAGAAAACACTGCGGCCAAAAACAACCGGTCCCCATCAAATCCCTCCCCTCAGAGCTCACGGAATCCCTCGGAAGAAGAGGCAGAAAGACTGAAGTCAGAGGGCTTGGAGGACACCTGGAGAGCAAGGCCCTCTGAATCCACTAAGCAAGGTACATCTGTGAAACTGAGGCAACCGTCACGGGGCCTACAGGGGTCTGCACCGGGTCCTCCACGTGTGGATCACAGCTTTTAGCTTAGTGTTTTTACGGGACTCCTAGCTGTGAGAACGACTCTTGGGCCTGCTCTTGGGACGCCTCCTCCTATTGGGTTGCCATGTCCAGCTTCAGTATGATAACTTTTGCTTCATCTTATTACATTTTATTTTGTCGAGTTTGGTCGCATGCTCTGTTCTAACGAGAGACAGAAGGAGAGTGGTCCCAGAGGCAAAGGGAGGTGGGGAGGGGGAGAGCTAGGGCAAGCTATAATCAAGGTATATTATGTGAGAAAAGAATATATTTTCAATAAAATAAAAATAAATGGAAAGGAAAATGTTCTGTCCGATCTGGCCACAAGCCAGTCTCATGGAGGCATTCTCTCAGTTGAGTCCCCCTTCCTAGATGGCTTAGCTTGTGTCAAGGTGACATAAAACTAGCCAGCACAGTTTGGCACAATTGTCTTCGATAGCACATCATGGCCACCATCATGTGACAGCCTTCCATAGTAAACTAGAGTGTAGGATCCATGGAAATGGCCCGAAATGGAGAAAAATCCAACAACTGGAGCTTATCTCTCTTCCATTTGTTATACACACACACGCACACACACACTCTCTCTCTCTCTCTCTCTCTCTCTCTCTCTCTCTCTCTCTCTCTCTCACACACTCTCTCTCTCTCTCTCTCTCTCTCTCTCTCTCTCTCTCACACACACACACACACACACACACACTTCTGCTAACTTACCTCAAGAAAACTGGGTGGTCCACAGCTGGGCAGACTGAACACCTTTCTCCAGGGTGGTGATAAGTCTGAAGGTCAGTTTTCTCCATTTCCCTAAAAAGAAAGAATGCGGGGGGGGGTGTGAAAGCTGGTTGGGCTCTGGGGTGTGCCCACAGGATGCTGTTATTTTACCATGGAAGAGGAAAAGGGAATCAAAGAAAAGCATCCATGCCTCACTTAGGGGGATCGTGGAACAAACAAGAGGAAAGAGACGGTAGGGAGAAAAATACATGAGCTCAAGGAAGCTCTCTCGGCTCTCGATTGCTCTAAAATCAGAACTATGAAATAACAGCGGCACTGAGACAGGGGCATGGTTTTGCCAGTTGCGCGCTTAGAACTACCTCATCAACAGCGTAAAGGAAAAAAATCCTAGAAGTGACAGTGTGAGCGCCAGGGTGTGGAGAGAGGAAGAAAAATCAGGCAGAAGAACAGCAAAGATGAACACCAAGGAGGAGACGAGGAGGTCAAGACCCCTGCGAAGGTAAGACTGTGGTAAGACAGAGTGGGTGACCAGATGTGCCGAGCGTTGAAAAGAAGGAAACGATGGCTGAGATACGCCCAAGAGCTTTGTCAGAGGTGGCCGCTGGTGCCACCTGTAATCCTGTGTTTGCCTCTGAGGCACAGGTCTGAAGGGAAACACGGGTGAAGAGACATATTAGCAAAACTAAGACAGAGAAACCTCACGCTGGGTAGAAGAGTTGGATCCGACAAATGTGGGTCTTGGAGGCCACTAGACAATGCCCAGCTAACGGCAATGGGATGGCAGAGATGTGGAGGTCACTAGCCTCAGACTTGGCATGGAGACAGGACAGAGCCAGCCTTGGTGTTCAGTTTCTGTAAGCTGGGCCTGCTGTTCAGGAGGGCAGACGGCAGGAAGAGGACTGGCTGACAAACGCTATCGCGGTGGACCATGACATCTACCGCTATCACAGTGGACCACGAAGTCTTCACCAAGTGAGAATGAGAACGTGGCCAAGTCTAGGAAACGAGTCAAGGGCAGCCAAACAGCATCAGAGAATTGGAGATCACTGGGATCCTGCCAGTGGGGTGTGGCTCGAGGACAAGACTCCAGTCCCCAGGCCCTGTCTTTTCTCAATCCTCCATCCTCTTTTCAGATTTCTCCTATTTATTCTCTCTGCCTGCCAGCTCCTTCTCTCTCCTAATTAGCTATCGGCCGTCCAGCTCTTTATTAGGCCAATCAGGTGTTTTAGACAGGCAAAGTGACACAGCCTCACAGAGTTAAACAAATGCAACATAAGCAAATGCAACACATCTTTGCATCATCAGACAATATTCCAGCGAATAAGCAAATGCAACACACACATCTTCAACTAACATTCCGCAACAAGGTAGGCGCCAGGTAATGACACACATTTTTAGATGCTCCTTATTCTGTCAGCGCCACCTACGAAGGCATGCTTTACTAAGTTCACATTCACACATACACATTCACACATGCACACAAAGTGTGCAGGGATAAAATCGTCCTTGTCCATAGCAGATGGGAAATCGGTCTCCTCTTTCTTCTCCAAAACATCACAAGGGCAGAGGATGGAAGCTTGGAACACTCACCAATGAGCATGGCGGCTTCCCATCATAACATGGCAGAAGATACCAAGCAGTGCCCCGTGGTAACAGAGTGGCTTTCGGGAGAGCAAGGTGGAGGGGGCAACAAGATAAACAGATGACTTCTATCTTGATCTGCTCTCTAATGATCTGTCATAACCTTTCCCACTGCGAAGGTCCTACTCCCTCAGTTGCCTTAATCCGTCAGAAGGGCAGAGTTGTGTTGACCAGAGACACTTCCTAATGGCCCCACGTCCAGTCTCACCACAGTAACAAGTTTCAGCATTAGTTTAGAGGGCTCCCTCAAACCTCAGGGACACTCTCTCAGTACTTGGGAGCCACAGTGACAACAAGGGAGAGAAAATCTAATGAACACCACAGGCTGACTATTAGGTCCATTCTGTGGCGATACTTTGTTTACCATCTAACAAACAAAGCCTGCCTGAAGATCAAAGTGCAGAGCTAGCCACACTAGTTAGCCATAGACGCCAAGCGGTGGAGACACACACCTTTCATCCCAGCACTCAGGAGACAGAGGCAGATGGATCTCTGTGAGTTCAAGGCCATTGTGGGCTACACGAAATTGATCCAGTCTGAAAGAGAAACAGCCAAGTGGTGGTGGTTGGCACATTTAATCCCAGTGCTTGGAAGTCACATGCCTTTAATGCCAACACTAGGGAGATGGAGACAGGAGAGATAAGGCTGGGTAAAGAGAGGAATATAAGGCAGGGCAGATCCCATCAAAACACAGGAATGCATAGATGCTCAGTAGAAGACAACCTTGGGGAGTTGGAGATTTTAGGAGAATTTAGTATTCCCTGGGAATGTTCATACCTGATGTAGTCTCTATCAAACACTGCCCCCTCTCCCCAGGTCCGTGTGTGTGTGTGTGTGTGTGTGTGTGTGTGTGTGTGTGTGTGTGTGTGTGTATGCACGTGTGCAAGCATGTGTGGAGGTCAGAGGGCAACCTTGCATGTCAGCCCTCACGGTCTACCTTGGTTGAGATGGGGACTCTTGTTTGCTGCTGGGCACGGCTTGTGGAGATGTTTCCGTTTTGCCTCCATCTTACTGCAAGATGCTGGCACCACAGGGCTGTGGCTGGCTTTACTTGAGTTGAGAGGCTCCAAACTCAGGGCCTCATGCTTGCACAAGTGCTTCACTCACTAAATCACTTTTCTAGCCCTCACCCTCTCTTTCATCATCCTTACACACACACACACAAACACATATATACACACACATATTCACACACATATATAAACATAAGCATGTGCACATCCACTCACATAAACACGAGCGCACACACACACACACACACAGAAAGAGAGAGCTATACCCAAGCCTTCTAACTCTTAAGACTCTGGGCCTTGTGAATTAACAGTAACCAAGGCCCTCAGCATCCCCTGATGAAACGGACTGGCCTCTAATTTCCCCTTTCCCAACATCCGCCATCTGAGCCACTTTCCTCTCCCACACTGTTGCTCCCCACCATGGAGTCACCAGAAAGTGTAGAGTGTCGACAGACATGAAGGCAGAGCCTGATGCCTCACACACTCCTTGGGGATTTATTTGGTTCCGTTGATCATGAAACTGTGCACAGTGGGGGACTTTAGCAAGGACAAGAAAAAGGTTTCTTTGACCCTAAACCTGGGAGTAAAATGTATTTAAGTAAAGCAATAAATGCCAGAAACGGCAAATGAGAAACTATAGTTTGACTCTCAAAATTAAATACCCATTATCAAGTTTTTTTGTGTACCCCCACTGGCCCCTAAGTTGGGGAAGTTCCTAGAATTAGGGAGTTCTTGGTCCAGGAGACATCCTCACCACCCCCTCTCCCAGTGGCACTAAGCCCCATACCCTCCCACCCCCACACACCTCAGCCCAGACACTTAGCATCTTGGCAGTCACTGCAATCCCTTCACCAGAGTTCTGGGTTCTTTCTGCCAATGGACACAGCCCACATCCTCTCACCAATTACTAACCATTTCCCCTGTAGTCAGCACTGAAACTCCTGCTTGATCTGCCTGACGTGTTACACGCTTGTGCTTCCAAATACAGCCCCTCCTGAGGCCGGCGTGGAAAGGGCAAACCAGGGGGACAGGCACACAGGCAACAACCCGTTTCCTTCAGATAGTAGCAAGGGAACTCTACCGGGAAACTGACAACCAAGGGCAGAGAGCTTGTTTCTGTTCCTCTCCTCAGAACTGACTGACTCACTGATTGATTCATTACTAATTGATTGATGGATAGCCTATTGGTATACGTGAAAGATCACGTTCACAATAGCTGTCATAGATACCTTACGTCTTGTCCAATCAGAAGAACCACCGCTTATCTAGTTCAAGACCGTGATTCTAAAGCCAGAATACCCTGATAAGCTAAATTAGGTCCTTGACCGAGGTCTGTGGGTGAGCGTCCTGGCAGCTTCCATTAATTTCAAGAAAATGTTGGGCTGTCCACGGACCCTGGCCAGCCAAGAATAGGCCCCATCACCTACATCCACCTAGCGTGGTCCCAGGACGACTCTTCTGGACACACAGCCCTGGCGTCACTCAGACCGGCACAGCCAGAGCATTTTCAGGGGCTTAGCAGTCTATTGCAAGGTACAGGCCTGCTCTCCCCTTCAGGTTGACAGCGCGTGTTTCTAGGGATATCTGAAGGCAAACACACACTGAATCTAACTAAAATGGTCGGACATTGGCCATCCACCCACGTGTCAAAACAGGAAGCAACAATTCTACTCCCCAGTTGGCCCTCAATTGTACGTGAACTGAGACTGACCGGGCGAAAAACATTGAATCACAAGTCTCATTATCCTCGTTAAGCACTCAAAGTATTTATATTTCAGTGCGGGGTTGGGGGGGTGGGGGATGAACCGTTGTAGCTGTACCACTACAGATGCAGGTCAAATAAAACTCTCCAGGACTCTCTGGCTAAGCACCTGCCCTGCCTGTCAGTGGCTCTGCCTATTCTAGGCTGGGGGAGGGGGGTGTGATAAAAACCCTTCATCAGTCCCACTGAAGTTGAAGCTGCTGCTATCTGGGAAGATCAAAGGGGGCCATTCCCCAGCAGACTTGGAGTCTACAGTCCCCTAGCCTGCCATGTGGTGTCAGCCACTCCCCCCTTGTCCCAGCCCAGCCATGGGGTATATAATGACAGTAATTGTCAGTTTGCTAAATTGCCTCCAACAAGGGAGGGAGATGCCCTACAGGCAGCAGCCACTTCTCAGACTCCTGTGAAAACACAGCAAGGAATTCCTAAAAGAAAATTCACAGGGCCTTTCTTTTGTGAATCCTGAGAGGCTCTTTCTTTATATTGATAGCATTGCCTTGGCTGTACCACCAGCAGACAAAGGGGCTTGTGGCTGCCTCTGTGACTTGCTTCAGTCACCGGATCCTCTTCCAGGAGACTTGAGAGAAGGCACATCCCTCCCCACAGCTGGGGGTACTTGGGCAAGTTACATTGCTTAAGGACTCTGCCTGTGGAGA